TTTTACCGGGAAGTAGTCTCCCTCTCTTCTACACACCCTAACCTGAGCCTCACTATCCTCATAAAAACTCTTTACAGCATTTAGTAATGTACTACCTATTCCATCTGCCACATTGCTCCCCTATTCTCTCTTATCATCATATGCATGAAATGCAATGAAAACTTCCCTACCTTTATCTAAATACTTTTCACATATATGCTTCAATGTAAACACTTGATCTACACATCCCCTACCCACTCTAAAATCTCCTTGCTCATCCACAATCCTACTCTCTTACCTCTAATTCTTTTAATAAAACCCTGCTGTACACTTTTCCTAGTATACTCAGTAAACTTTTGTTTGTTTTTTCTCTTCTTTCAACAAGTCGGCTGTCTCCCACCGAGGCAGGATGACATAAAAAGAAAGAAAATCCCCAAAAAGAAAATACTTTCATCATCATTCAACACTTTCACCTCACTCACACATAATCACTGTTTTTGCAGATGTGCCAAGAATACAACAGTTTTGAAGTATATACCTATAAAAATACACAATATATCCCTCTAAACTGCCAATATCTCAAACCCCTCCTTTAGAGTGTAGGCATTGTACTTCCCATTTCCAGGACTCAAGTCCGGTTATATAAAGTAACCGGTTTCCCTGAATCCCTTCACTAAATATTACCCTGCTCACACTCCATCAGCTCGTCAGGTCCCAAATACCATTTGTCTCCATTCACTCCTATCTAACACGCTCGCGCACGCTTGCTGGAAGTCCAAACCCCTCGCCCACAACACCTCCTTTACCCCCTCCCTCCAACCTTTTCAAGGATGACCCCTACCCCGCCTTCCTTTCCTTACAGATTTATACGCTCTCCATGTCATTCTGCTTTGATGCGTTCTTTCTAAATGACCAAACCACCTCAACAAACCCTCTTCAGCCCTCAGACTAATACTTTTATTAACTCCACACCTTCTCCTAATTTCCACACTCCAAATTTTCTGCATAATTTTTACACCACACATTGCCCTTAGACAAGACATCTCCACTGCCTCCAACTGCCTCCTCGCTGCAGCAGTTACAACCCAAGCTTCACACCCATATAAGAGTGTTGGTACTACTATACTTTCATACATTCCCTTCTTTGCCTCCATAGATAACATTTTTTGCCTCCACATATACCTCAATGCACCGCTCACATTTTTTATTTCATCAATTCTATGATTAACCTCATCCTTCTTAAATCCATCCGCTGACATGTCAACTCCCAAATATCTGAAAACATTCACTTCTTCCATACTCCTCCTCCCCAATTTGATATCCATTTTTTCTTTATCTAAATCATTTGATACTCTCATCACCTTACTCTTTTCTATGTTCACTTTCAACTTTCTACCGTTACACACACACCCAAATTAATCCTCCAACTTTTGCAATTTTTCTTTAGAATCTCCCATAAACACAGTATCATCAGCAAAAAGCAACTGTGTCACTTCCCATTTTGTATTTAATTCCCCATAATTTAATCCCATCCCTCTCCTGAACACCCTAGCATTTACTTCTTTTACAACCCCATCTATACATATATTAAACAACCATGGCAACATTACTCATCCCTGTCTAAGACCTACTTTTACTGGGAAATAGTCTCCCTCTCTTCTACACACCCTAACTTGAGTCTCGCTATCCTCATAAAAACTCTTTACAGCATTTAGTAACTTACCACCTATTCCATATACTTGCAACATCTGCCACATTGCTTCCCTATCCACTCTGTCATATGCCTTTTCTAAATCCATAAATGCAATAAAAACTTCCCTAGCTTTATCTAAATACTGCTCACATAAATGCTTCAATGTAAACACGATCTACACATCCCCTACCCACTCTAAAACCTCCTTGATTATCCGCAATTCTACATTCTGTCTTACCTCTATTCTTTCAATAATAACCCTACCGTACACTTTTCCTGGTCTACTCAGTAAACTTATTCCTCTATAATTTTTACAATCTCTTTTGTCCCCCTTCCCTTTATATAAAGGGATTATACACTCTCTCTGCCAGTCCCCTAGGTACCTTCCCCTCTTTCATACATTTTTTAAACAAAAATACCAACCACTCCAACACTATATTCCCCCTGCTTTTAACATTTCTGTCATGATCCCATCAATTCCAGCTGCTTTATCCCCTTTCATTGTACGTAATGCCTCGTGCACCTCTCCCACACTTGCATTCTGCTCTTCTTCACTGCCTCGCTTTCTTCACTGACATTTAAAAGTTCCTCAAAATATTCTTGCCATCTACCCAATACCTCCATCTCCCCATCTACTAACTTCCCTGCTCTGTTTTTAATGGACAACTCCATTCGTTCCCAAGGCTTTCTTAAGTTGTTTATCTCGCTTCAAAATTTTTTCTTATTTTCATCAAAATTTCTTGACTGCCTCTCCCACTCTTATCATCTGCTCTCCTTTTGCACTCTCACCATTCTCTTTACCTTTCTTTTACTCTCCATATACTTTTCTCTTATAACGCTTCTGCTTTGTGAAAACCTTTCATAGGCTACCTTCTTCGCTTTTAATACACCCTTTACTTCATTCCACCAATCACTCCTCTTTCCTCCTGCACCCACCGTCCTATAGCCACAAACTTCTGCCCCACATTCTAATACTGCATTTTTAAAACTATTCCAACCCTCTTCAACCCCCCCCCCCCCACTACTTATACTTGCACTAACCCACCTTTGTCAATAGTTGCTTATATCTCACCCTAACTTCCTCCTCCCCCCTTAGTGTATGCACTTTCACCTCTCTTAATTGTTGTTGCAATTTTCCTTTTGTTCCATCTACCTCTTACTCTAACTGTAGCTACAACTAAATAATGATCCGATATATCAGTTGCCCCTCTATAAACATGTACATTCTGAAACCTACCCATCAACCTTTTATCCACCAATACATAATGTAATAAACTACTTTCATTACATGCTGTATCATACCTTGTATACTTATTTATCCTCTTTTTCATTAAATATGTATTACTTATTACCAAACCTCTTTCTACACTTAGCTCAATTAATTAAAGGCTCCCCATTTTCATTTACCCCTGGCACCCCAAATTTACCTACTACTTCCTCAACATTTTTACCCACTTTAGCATTGAAATCCCCAACCGCAAGTACTCTCACATTTGGTTCAAAACTCCCCATGCACTCAACATTTCCCTAAATTTCTCTGAAACATGTGGTGATTAAATTATAAGTTCTTCCCTGACAGCTTCCTGCCCACTTCACAAACTTTATGCTTGTTTTCAACAATTTAATTTACTGCTGTATGATGCTTAAACCCTAGAAATCTAAAAATTTCAAAACTGATAATGATCCTAATTGAAGTTTTACTGGAAAATGTATACTGTAGTTTACATAATGATAGTACAGTACAATAACTATTAATTAATATGACAAATATATAAATATAATTTTCATTGAATATTCTAAGATACTTTCTCATAATTTCCATTTCTTTTTGGATTAGTACGTTGTACTATTACTGAGCCCGGCATTTCAATAAATATAAATGTTTCATGTCTCCACTGTAATACTGGGCATTGTTACTTACACTAAAAATTTTAGAGCCACATTAATTCATTCATTGATTCTACCATTTAGCTTACTGTGCAATGATTTAATGTGTGTTATTTTACTCTAGAGTTACAATGTCTTGAATATTTTAAGAATTAGAATAGTTGTCGTGGGAAACAAATGCCTGTAAGTAAAATGTGTTATTACTATACAGTTATTCATATTTACTGGGTAGTATTTCATCTTTTAGCTGCAAATAGAGCAAAAACTGGTTCTTTAAAATAAAAATTGCATGTTTGGCTTTTGCTTATGTTGGTATGATCATATGTTACTCATGTGCATGAGTGCGTTATTATCCAAAGTCTGTTTCTTTGTATTGAGCATGTCCAGTGGCTTTATGGTTGCATGATACTGTACTTATTTATTTTCAGCTTTATTTACTGTATTATATTTAGATTTATATAAATTCTTACATGCCTCTAGGAATCCTTCAAATAGGGACAATTGGCTACAAACCATAGGCAGTGTCTGCAGAAGCTAGGAAGTCAGTATAATTAAAACTGTACATGATCTTTAGTAGAACATCTGGTTGTAGGTTTTATGCTCACTTTTAGATACACATACAGAGTTTGTTCTATTTTCACTTATGCCAAAATAAGGTTAGAGTTATAGGAAGAAAGGCTAGCTAGGATGACATCCAGTCACTACTGTTTGTCAGGTTGTGTAGCTGCTTAGAGTACCCACTTGAAATGTCTAATTCCTTATACTGTGCATCAGTGCATAAAAATGTTGCTGATATAAATTTGTATACTTATTAATCCAAGAGTTCGTTTTGAACAATGTATACTATATATATCTTTACATACTGATATACTTGATTTCTTAGAAACCTATTCATTTTGCTTCATGAATTATCCCAGTAACATTACATTCAACTAACATTGATGTTTACATTGTATAAATGTTTTGCCTGAAACCACATTCCAACAACCAATGCTGTAAATGTTTCCCGCTAAATCCAACATTCATTTGGCAAAATTTCCATTAAGTGTGACTGTTTACATGGCCATGATGTGCCACTGTGATGGAGTGTGACTGTTCCCAACAGTGGCCCCTTCGTCCCCTTCTGTGGTTCAACCCTTCTCTTCGAACATCGCAGCTTCTCAAACAAAGCCCAAGATGGAACTCCAGCCCGGCGAAAACATTTGTACAGAGTGTGGTAGACTAATTGTGTAAGTACAGCAGCAGACTGATGCCATCCTCATTCCTACAGCTCCCCCACCCCCACAGCTTTAACTCTAACCCCTCACTTAGTCAGCCTTCTGATGACAGCAAGTAACCATTTACATTACATTTAATAGTTGTGGGTGATGGGGGAGGTGGGATGAGATGGTACAGTTATGTCCGGTAGGGGTAGTAATGGGTTCCTTTATTTCGGGCACAGACAGCCCCTTGAGTGGTGGCGGGCCGGGTCCCATAGGCACTCGCAGCGTGTGTGCCCCACAGACCAAAGTGAAGCCCGAGGGGGCACCAAGTCCCTTACAAAGCACCAAGTGCTCCGAATGCGAGAGGCCCATTATGTGAGTACTTGCACTGGTCTCCCCATGAATTATGGAGCCCAACACCTTTGTAGTGCATCCTGGCTATGGCTTGCCACCCTGTCACTATTGCTGAAGTGAATCTTGTGTATGTGAGCTTGTAGGTACATCACGGGTCTCATTTACACATACATGTCATTGGTGATTTTGGTCAGGTTGGCAATTACCGTGCATATCCGGCACAGGCTTTGTAGGATTACCACTTGCTCATTCACTGGTCACAAATTTTATGCTCAACATTCATTCTACATGCGCTAATTAAAGAGCTGCAAAGCTATGCCTCACGTCAAGTCACCTGACACTGACGACTGTTCTTTGTAAAGGCAGGAGTGCTCAGGTCAGAAGATGGCATGAGGCATTAATGGCATTAACACTGCACTGCTTACCTTCTCATGCTGCTGCCTTTTATTGATAACCAACTCACCATGATAAGAAAGTGAACTGCATTCATGGGAAAGCCTGTTAGCAGTACTTTTTTGGTGGGTGACTCATGAGCAGCAGTCAGGGGGGACTGTGACGCCTTTTTGCTTGTTTCTCACGCATTGAACCAATACTCAGTTGGTGTTACTATTACCCCTTGCAAACTACTGTATTTACTAATTATAAATCAGATGCGTTATGCATCTATTATGTTTTTCAACATGATTATTTTCCTTAATGTACTACATGAATTATATTAAAGGGAAAGTTAATAATGATGAATAATAGAAGTTTACTATCTGTTTCAATTTGTGCCCAAGGATAAGTTTATGGACGTGACTGCGAAGTCAACTTTAATAAATTTCTGTAAATTGGCTTACCCGTTTGCATTCTTTCAAGATGATTACAGTCATTTTAACTGATCTGCCCTTTCCTTCTACAAGATATATATAGTTTGTGCATTTTTATTATGGAAGCTTCCTTTAAAAGGGCTCATTTTCTAATAGACTTGCTATTCAAACAGAAAAGGATATTGCAATTAGTAGGAAACAGGAGTAAAATCGAAAACATTGCCATGAGGAACCCAGTTGTCTGTAGCATCCTCAAGGGTTGGATGAGGCCTGTACTGCCACCCCCAATTCCTGTAATCTTGGATTTCTTTATAAAGTAATTTGTTTCAAAGCCATACAGTCTAGATCAGAAGAGTAATTTTTGGTAAAGTTCGATAGCCACAAGATGCATTGTATGTACGTAATCATTGAGAGTGGTGGTGTGGGTAGCGAGGCGCGACGTGCCGTGTGGCAATAGTCCACTGACGGTAGGGTGTGTGTTTCAGCGGCGTGTTCGTGCGCATAAAGAATAAAAACCTGCACGCAGACTGCTTCAAGTGTTCTACCTGCGGTTCATCACTGAAGAATGTGGGTAAGTTAATTGTATCCCTTGTGTTTCCATCCCCTCTTCCTTTATTCCTGCCCTTGTGACTGCATTCTTTAAATCCTCAGTCTTGTCAAAACACAACGCTGACATTTTCACACAGTCAGTATAAGAATGTTTGCTATTCTTAATTTTACCAGCATTGCTTCTGCAGTATTACTTATAGGTAAAAGGGAGCTATAAAATCCTTGTTATTTAGGTGACTGGCTTTTATAAAAAGAAAGGGCTATGTATTTAGAGGAGGAGAAATCTGAATAAAATTGTGCAGATAGTCACATGTATGATAAGATGAAGGTTGTTAACCCAGAGCATCATTGCCTAGGCTACTACAACATAAACGAGAAGCTGTACTGCGATGTGCATGCCAAGCAAGCTGCCCGCCACAACCCTCCAGGGCCCAACCTGGAGCCAGTCCTTGTTAAGCCGTGAGTGTTCATACTCTGCTGTACATTGTGTTATTTTTCTTTCTTTGAAGTTTGCATGTCTTTCATTAGAGCTCAAATACCCAGCAGAAAGACTACCTCACTGGCAACTACCCAAATACTCTATATCTAGTGCCAACTAATTCTACTGAAGTCTCACTCATCATTAAATCATTAAAAAACAAAGTAGGAGATCTGAATAACTTGCCACCATTCACATATTAAAAAGCTGCACATGTGCTGTTATCCATTATTGCAACAACGTTTAACAAATCTGTAGCATCCTCAACTTTCCCATCTATACTTGAGACACCAAGGGTTACCCCGATCAAAACTTGCCCTTACTTTCCAAAATATTCAAAAAAATAATACACAAATGACTTTAAACCTACCTTATGTCCAACAACATACTTAACCCCTGCCAGTTTGGGTTTAGACCAAAAAAAAAGTACGAATGATGCAATTATACAAATGCTTGAACTAAAATATACATACAGCTCTCAATGAAAATAAATATCCTCTGGGGCTCTTCATTGACCAACAAAAAGCATTTGATACAGTCGACCACAATCTCCTACAACTAAAACTAAATCATTATGGCATCAGAGGACATTCCCTTGATTACCTAAAATCTTATCTTAACGACGGACACCAGTATGTACATATGTGCAAATGGAGTCAACTCCTCTATCCAGCCTGTAGTTGTAGGAGTACCCCAGGGTAGTGTCCTAGGCCCACTCATCTTTCTCATCTACATCAATGATCTCCCCAGTGCAACCCAACTCCTTAAACCAGTTCTATTCGCAGATGACACTACTTATGTCTACTCCCATTCGAACCCAGCTATACTTAAAAACACTAAACAATGAGCTTCTAAAATATATACTTGGATAATGACCAGCAAACTCACTCTCAACACAGACAAAACATACTTCATGCTGTTTGGCAACAGAACAGGAAATACTCAGCTTTATATACGTGTATCGATAAATAGTTCCCCTATATCAAGATACACTGAGGGTAAATTTCTAGGTCTTCTCCTTGACTGTAATCTTAAATTTCATTCCTACATCCAACACATATCCAAGAAAATTTCCAAATCAGTAGGCATCCTTGCCAAGATACGATACTATGTACCACAAATGACACTCCTTATCCTATACCACTCTTTAATATATCCTTACCTCACATATGACATTAGTGCCTGGGGATCAACCACAACCAACCACCTTAAACCTTTAATAACCCAACAAAAAGCTGCTGTGCAGATGATTACCACCTCCTGTGCAAGACAGCACACCCCACCACTTTTCAAACTCCTGAACTTGCTAAATATACGTGACATACACTCATATTATTGTGCCTACTACATATACAGAACATTAAATTCCAATATAAACCCTCCACTTAAACTACTACTTGACAGTTACAACAGAATGCACAATCACAATACAAGGCATAAGGCACTCGTCAGCATCCCTTGTGTCAGTCTCACACTACGCAAAAAAGCTATGTATATAAAGGGCCTGAAGATTTGGAACTCCTTACTGGAACTGATAAAGGATCTCCTGACTGCTTATAAATTGAGGACTTTGCTAAAAAAAAAATCATCTTTCTCAATACTAACCAATTCAACCAAAACAAATGCTAATTAGATATATTATTTGACCTCTAGACTTTTAAACTTCTGCCAGTCCATGAAATATTACTTCCTGAACCATTATTTGTAATAGTTTTTATTATGTGCAACTTCAGGATTATTTGTAATACTATTTTTAATATTTTTTTTATTATGTACAACTTCAGGATTATTATTCTTAAAAACCTTGACTACCCCTTTTTTTTTTTTGTCAGCTGTATTCCACCAAGGCAGGGTGACCCAAAAAAGAAAGAAAATCCCCAAAAAGAAAATACTTTCATCATCATTCAACACTTTCACCTCACTCACACATAATCACTGTTTTTGCAGAGGTGCTCAGAACACGACAGTTTAGAAGCATATACGTATAAAGATACACAACATATCCCTCCAAACTGCCAATATTCCAAACCCCTCCTTTAGAGTGCAGGCATTGTACTTCCCATTTCCAGGACTCAAGTCTGGCTATATAAAAATAACCAGTTTCTCTGAATCCCTTCACTAAATATTACCCTGCTCACACTCCAACAGATCGTCAGGTCCCAAATACCATTCGTCTCCATTCACTATCGAAAACGCTCACGCACGCATACCGGAAGTCGAAGCCCCTCGCCCACAAAACCTCCCTTACACCTTCCTTCCAGTGTTTTCGAGGACAACCCCTACCTCGCCTTCCTTCCCCTACAGATTTAAACGCTCTCCATGTCATTCTACTTTGATCCTTTCTCTAAATGACCAAACCACCTCAACAACCCCTCTTCAGCCCTCTGACTAATACTTTTATTAACTCCACACCTTCTCCTAATTTCCACACATCAAATTTTCTGCATAATATTTACACCACATATTGCCCTTAGACAGGACATCTCCACTGCCTCCAACCACCTCCTTGCTGCTGCATTCACAACCCAAGCTTCACACCCATATAAGAGTGTTGGTACTACTATACTTTCATACATTCCCTTCTTTGCCTCCATAGATAACGTTTTTTGTCTCCACATATACCTAAATGCACCACTCGCCTTTTTTCCCTCATCAATTCTATGATTAACCTCATCCTTCATAAATCCATCCACCAACACGTCAACTCCCAAGTATCTGAAAACATTCACTTCTTCTATACTACTCCTCTTCAGTTTGATATCAAATTTTTCTTTATCTAAATCATTTGATACCCTCATCACCTTATTCTTTTCTATGTTCACTTTCAACTTTCTACCTTTACACACACTCCCAAACTCGTCCACTAACCTTTGCAATTTTTCTTTAGAATCTACCATAAGCACAGTATCATCAGCAAAAAGCAACTGTGTCAGTCCCCATTTTGTATTTGATTACCTGGAGTTTACCTGGAGAGAGTTCCGGGGATCAACGCCCCCGCGGCCCGGTCTGTGACCAGGCCTCCTGGTGGATCAGAGCCTGATCAACCAGGCTGTTACTGCTGGCTGCACGCAATCCAACGTACGAGCCAAGGCCCGGCTGGTCAGGTACCGACTTTAGGTGTTTGTCCAGTGCCTGCTTGAATAGTCTCAGGCCCCTGACACTTATTGTATTGTCTCTTAACGTGCTAGTGACACCTCTGCTTTTCATTGGGGGATGTTGCATCATCTGCCGAGTCTTTTGCTTGCATTGGCAGTGATTTTCGTGTGCAGGTTCGGTACTAGTCCCTCTAGGATTTTCCAGGTGTATATAATCATGTATCTCTCCCGCCTGCATTCCAGGGAGTACAGGTTCCGGAACTTCAAGTGCTCCCAGTAATTGAGATGTTTTATCTCCGTTATGCATGCTGTGAAGGTTCTCTGTACATTTTCTAGGTCAGCAATTTCACCTGTCTTGAAAGGTGCTGTTAGTGTGCAGCAATATTCCAGCCTAGATAGAACAAGCGACCTGAAGAGTGTCATCATGGGCTTGGCATCCCTAGTTTTGAAGGTTCTCATTATCCATCCTGACATTTTTCTAGCAGATACGATTGATACAATGTTATGGTCCTTGAAGGTGAGATCCTCCGACATGATCACTCCCAGGTCTTTGACGTTGGTTTTTCGCTCTATTTTTGTGTAAGGAATTTGTTTTGTACTCGGATGAAGTTTTAATTTCCTCATGTTTACCATATCGGAGTAATTGAAATTTCTCATCGTTGAACTTCATATTGCTTTTTGCAGCCCACTGAAAGATTTGGTTGATGTCCACCTGGAGCCTTGCAGTGTCTGCAATGGAAGACACTGTCATGCAGATTCGGGTGTCATCTGCAAAGGAAGACACGGTGCTGTGGCTGACATCCTTGTCTGTCAGATATGAGGATGAGAAACAAGATGGGAGCGAGTACTGTGCCTTGTGGAACAGAGCTACTACTCTTTTTGTTCTGTTTGTGAGGAAATTATAAGTCCATCTACCAAATTTTCCTGTTATTCCTTTAGCACGCATTTTGTGTGCTATTAGACCATGGTCACACTTGTCGAAGGCTTTGGCAAAGTCTGTATATATTACATCTGCATTCTTTTTGTCTTCCAGCGCATCTAGGACCTTGTCGTAGTGATCCAATAGCTGAGACAGACAGGAGCGACCTGCTCTAAACCCATGTTGCCCTGGGTTGTGTAATTGATGGGTGTCTAGATGGGTGGCAATCTTGCTTCTTAGGACCCTTTCAAAGATATTTATGATATGGGATGTTAGTGAGGATGTTAGTGAGGCAGTAAAGCTATTGCTTTACTGCCTCCTTTGTGGAGTGGGGCTATGTCTGTTCTTTTTAGTAACTGTGGGACGACCCCCGTGTCCATGCTCCCTCTCCATAGGATGGTAAAAGCTCGTGATAGGGGCTTCTTGCAGTTCTTGATGAACACGAAGTTCCATGAGTCTGGCCTTGGGGCAGAGTGCATGGGCATGTCATTTATCGCCTGTTCGAAGTCATTTGGTGTCAGGATAATATCAGATAGGCTTGTGTTAACCAAATTCTGTGGCTCTCTCATAAAAAATTAATTTTAATCTTCGACTCTCAGTCTGGTTAGCGGCTTGCTAAAAACTGAAGTCATATTGGGACTTGAGTAGTTCACTCACTTCTTTGCTTTCATCTGTGTAGGACCCATCTTGTTTAAGTAGGAGCCCAATACTGGATGTTGTTCTCGACTTTTATTTGGCATAAGAAAAGAAATACTTTGGGTTTCTTTCGATTTCATTTATGGCTTTTAGTTCTTCCCGCGATTCCTGACTCCTATAAGATTTCTTTAGGTTAAGTTCGATGTTTGCTATTTCTCTGACCAGTGGCTCCCTACGCATTTCAGATATATTGGCTTCTTTTAGCCGCTCTGTTATTCTTTTCCATCGCCTGTAAAGGGAGCGCCTGTCTCTTTCTATTTTACATCTACTCCTCCTTTTTCTTAAAGGAATAAGCCTTGTGCATACATCGAGTGCCACCAAGTTGATCTGTTCTAGGCATAAGTTGGGAACTGTGTTGCTTAGTCTATCTTCCCAGCTTATATTGTTTAGGACTTGATTTATTGGTCCCACTTTATGTTCTTGTTGTTGAAGTTGAATTTGGTGAAGGCTCCCTCGTGACTGATCTCATTTTGTCAGTCTGGGGCTCCGTGCATACATGTCTGATTCCCCATAATTTAATCCCACCCCTCTCCCGAACACCCTAGCATTTACTTCTTTTACAACCCCATCTATAAATATATTAAACAACCATGGTGACATAACACATCCTGTCTAAGATCTACTTTTACCGGGAAGTATTCTCCCTCTTTTCTACACACCCTAACCTGAGCCTCACTATCCTCATAAAAACTCTTTACAGCATTTAGTAACCTACTGCCTATTCCATATACTTGCAACATCTGCCACATTGCTCCCCTATCTTGTCTAGTTTTAAGTAGTTATTATGTACTATTATCTGTCTAGTTTTAAGTATTAGGATTAGTCTGCCCAAAATGCCCTGGCATGATAGTGGCTTTCTTTGTACTTAGCAAACTAAAATTGTAATTACACATTGTAACCTTTACAAAGAAATAAACTTTTAACTTTGTCTTTGCTATAAACATAATTTCATTCATAAAATATACAGAATTTAATCGTGGTTCTGTTCCTTTCTATAGTGGTGCTCCTGTGCCTGCTGGTGTCACGATTGCCTCCTTGGCCAAGGTGGCTCCAGCCCCTGCTGTAAGTATGAGGAATCTCCTTTCGTTGTCACCATAAAAATATATAAATATCTTGTAACATTAACCCGAGTTTATTCATCATTTAAAAGTGGGAGCTGCATTGTGACCTTGTACAATTTGTCTTAGCCTCGCACACTAACTAACCTCTAAAAAATGGTGGTCAAGTTGCCAGCTTGTTACATAAGTACTAGAGTTAGATCTTGAAAGCACCAATGATCTGCAAAGGCAGTAAAGCTACCAGAAGATACTTTTGAGTTAGCAATGCAAATAGCTTGGAGCATTTATTGTAATACAGTACCCTTTTTTATTATAAAGATTAATGGGTGCACAATATTACACTAAGGAGCAATTGTTTCTAAAATGATCATGTTGATAGTATACTCAAGATTAATTTTTTATCCAAATCAGTGAAGTGTGACATCCTGTAGATTAATACTATATGTATTTTATAACGTATACAGTACATACATGGTATGTAGTTTAGGTGTCCCTTTCTTCATGCGATAGATGCATTCATGGCCACACACCATGTGCATCACCACTCTCTAAGATTTAATAGAAGGGAAACAGGAATACAAGGGCAGAGCTGAAAGTAGGAAACAGACGATTCACAAGGATGTTGGGAAACATTTCATCAGCTTTAGAGTAGTCAACACCACACCAACGCAACGCACCACACCAACGCAATGCACCACACCAACGCAATGCACCACACCAACACCACACCACACCAACACCACACACCACACCAACACCACACACCACACCAACACCACACACCACACCAACACCACACACCACACCAACACCACACACCACACCAAAACACACCAACAACACACACCACACCAACACCCCACACCACACCAACACCACCACAAAAACACACACACACCAAAACCAAAACCACACCAAACACCAACACCACACCAACACCACACACCACACCACACACCACACCCCCACACCACACCAACACCAACACCAACACCACACAACACCACACCAAAACCACACACCCCACCACACCACACACCACACCAACACCACACACCACACCAACACCACACACCACACCAACACCACACACCACACCAACACCACACACAACACCACACACACACCACACCACACCAACACCACACACCACACCCAAAACCACACACCACACCAAAACCACACACCACACACCAACCACAACCCACACCACCACCACACACCACACACCCACCATCACACCCACCACCAACACCACACACCACACCAAAACCACACACCACACCACAACCACACCACCACCACACACCACACCAACACCACACACCAGCCCTTGAGGTTCCTAAACCTGTATTTCCTGGAATGCAGGAGGGAGAGATACATGATTATATACACCTGGAAAATCCTAGAGGGACAGTACCGAACTTGCACACGAAAATCACTCTCTACAAAAGCAAAAGACTTGGCAGACGATGCACCATCCCCCCAATGAAAAGCAGGGGTGTCACTAGCACGTTAAGAGACCATACAATAAGTGTCAGGGGCCCGAGACTGTTCAACTGCCTCCCAGCACACATAAGGGGGATTACCAACAGACCCCTGGCAGTCTTCAAGCTGGCACTGGACAAGCACCTAAAGTCAGTTCCTGATCAGCCGGGCTGTGGCTCGTACGTTGGTTTGCGTGCAGCCAGCAGCAACAGCCTGTTGATCAGGCTTGATCCACCAGGAGGCCTGGTCACAGACCGGGCCGCGGGGGCGTTGACCCCCGGAACTCTCTCCAGGTAAAACTCCAGGTAAACACCACACACACCACAACCACACACCACACACCACACCACCACACCACACACCACACCACACACCACACCACACACCACACCCACACACCACACACCACACCACACACACACACCACACCACACACCACACCACACACCACACCACACACCACACCACACACCACACCACACACCACACACCACACCACACACCACACCACACACCCACACCACACACACACACCACACACCACACCACACCACACACCACACACACACACACACACACCACACACACACACCAACACACATACACCACACACACTGCACCCACAACCAACACCACACACCAACACCACACACCAACACCACACACCACACACCAACACCACACCACCACACACCACACACACCACACACCACACCACACACCAACACACACCCCACACACTGTGTACGTCAGGCTCATACTGGAGTATGCAGCATCAGTTTGGAACCCAGTGAAGAGGCTGGGCCAGGCGCAGAGTCTCGACCCTGCAACCACAGTTAGGCGAGTACATTACAACACACACACACACACACACACACACACACACACACACACACACACACACACACACACACACCACACACACACCACACACACACACCCCACACACACACACACACCCCACACACACCACACACACCACACACACACCACACACACACTACACACCACACACACACCACACACACACCACACACACCACCACACCCCACACCACACACACACCACACAACACCACACACAAAACCACACACACACCACACACACACCACACACCACACCCCCACACACACACCACACCACCACACACCCCACCACCACCACCCCACACACACACCACACACACACCACAACACACACCACAACACCACACACACCACACACCACACACACACCACACACCCCACACACACACACACAACACACACCACACACACACACACACACACACACACACACACACACACACAAAACACACACACACCAACCACACACACACCACACACACACACACACACACACACACACCACACACACACCACCACACACACCCACACCACCCACACACACACACACCACACAACACACACACACACACCACCACACACACACACACACACACACACACACACACACACCACACACACACACACACACCCCACTCCCCCACTCACACCCCCCACTCACACACCTCACACACACCACACATGCCACACGCACTCCCTACATGCCCACCACACACACTCCCTACATGCCCGCCACACACACTCCCTACATGCCCACCACACTCCCTACATGCCCACCACACACACTCCCTACATGCCCACCACACACACTCCCTACATGCCCACCACACACACCACAGAGAGAGAGAGTCATAGTAGTCAGGAAGTGGAATAGTCTAACAAGTGATGTAGTGGAGGCAGGAACTATATATAGCTTTAAAACGAGATATAAAGCTCATGGAGCAGGAAGAGAGGCCCTAGTAGTGTTCAGTGAAGAGACAGGGCCAGGAGCTGAGTCTTGACCTCTGCGACCACAATTAGGCGAGTACTACAAGCACACAATCTCTCTCTCTCACCCTGGCACACACAATCTTTACAGTGCTTGTATTATAAAAGAAGGTATTGTATGAAAAACTGCTCCTTTGCCAAATTTGATCAACATTGAAGTCAGTTACGCGTGTCTGTAAGTGATGGCTGAGGTACAACTGATGGTCATTGTTGGTAACTGGGACTGTACTCTGGCAGCCCTTCAAACCTCCTGCGGGTGGTGTGAGAATCATCCCCACGTCGGTCCTCGCCCCAGCACCTGTGCCCAAGTTCGCCCCAGTCCCCCCGCCCAAGGTACCCATGCAAAGGACAAAATAACCTCCCTCTTCACTACCATTTGCTATACTAAAGTTTGGAGTGTTGTAGCTGTATTAGCTTCATAGCATTACTGCTAATATAAATGAAGCCTGACCTGAGGCGAGGCTGGATTTAGAGAGCAGAATAACTCTCGAAACTGGTTTTAAGTTATGTAGTATGAAACTTCCACCTATAGGTCTACTGCTCCCCATGATTTATTTGCTTTGTTTAATTTATAATTTATTGGCACCACTCATCTCTGATGTTGGTTCACCTTAATGCAATCTTAGGGTTTGATTAGTTTATGCCTTCCTGTAGGGGTCTACCTGGGAGGGGTGCTGCTCTCTCCAGAGGGGTTTCTGCTGGACGAAAAACCCAGCATCTCTCTTGATTTAAATGGGGCGGATATTTTCCCTTTTGTCTTAATTTGCTGATACTTTCTGCTGATGACATGGCATGAATTATGAATATGAATTAAAGAATGCAAAAACATTGACTTCAGAATAATTTTAGATAGCAGAATGTGAAAAATTGACCTTGAATAGTTGTACAGTGAACTCTCGAAATAATGGATCCCGATATAACTGACTTTTAAAATTATAGGCAAAATCCACTGGGTAAATTGCACTTTTAACCCCTTTAAGTGTTTATTACAGTATAACTGTAAATTGAAGGTACAGCACTATATTAGGTATATAGTAGATTACAGTAAGTCCTTGAATAATGTCATTTTATTCTAATGATGAGAAAAATTTTTATTTCTGGCCAGGGCCACTGTCTGTGTTGAGACAGTAAAATAAAAATTTGTAAGGCATACGATAATCATACAAATTCATGATAATAAATGATGTGATATGAAAGCACTCAGTGAGCCAGCCATATTTGTTATTGTTCGTTTTTAAACTGTTTGGTGGTTGGAGATGTTTCTTGCATTTTTTGCTTTGGAAACTTTTATTCCTTAGTTTAACCCTGTTACAATGAGTGCTGAAGCTGCACTGTGCACCCCTGATGTCTGTGGCCACAAAAATTAGAAAAAATGTGACACAAAAAACAAATTGAAATTTTTTGAAAAGGCTGACAGTGGACAGCAAGGTATGGTTTCATTATATACATCATTTCACTTAGTCACAGTTTGCAAGAACCTATCGACGACATCAGGTGAGGACTTGCTGTACTATAGCGAATTTTATTACTGTTTTTTTTAACATACGTTCTGATTTAATGGACTCCTCGTAAAATCCCCCCCCCCCATTGGGTCATTATATTGAGTGTCTACTGTATTTGATTTATGTAATATAGGAGTTGTTAATGATATTTAAATAATTTTGAAAATGGAATCTGTTTAAAGCACTGAATAACCAGATGGTTTAAATTCTTTATAAATAAAGCACTGTTGCTATTTGGTTATTTAGCATTTGACAAGAACACTTTTGTTTCTTACGTTCTTTATGAGCTTGCAACTGTCATGGCTAATTTACTGCAGTTTTATAACTACCAGTATTATAAGGCAGGGTAAAAAAATTATTCTCACAATATACATAATTTGTTTTATTTCAGTGGTCATGAGTTACAGTAAGTTTAAATGAATGGAAAGTATCCCCACCATTTTTGCAAAATGAACAAAAAATTTTTATACTGAGTTTTTGGTTAGGAAAATGAGATATCAAATGTAGACAAAGAACTCGGAAGAATTGGTTGCTTAACCGTGGACTTCAAATTACATAATACTGTAAATGGAAAAAATCAGTTAAATAACTAAGAACAGTACTTAAACGCTTGTGGAAAATTTAAAAGCAACAAAAAGCTCCTTAACCCGTAAACGGTCCAAACGTATACATGTATGTACGTTTTTACCGCTAGTGCCCCAAACGTATATACGTATATGTTTTATTTTTCCTGCCTTCAAACTTGGCACGATTGGCCTGAGATGCCTTGTCAGCATAAAATAGGTCCTAACACTGTGTGTGCAGTATTAAAAAAATCTGGGACCACTTAGCTCCTTGTGGGAGCACCAGTTCAAGTGAGTGCCAGCTAGAGCAAACAGTGCAGCAAACACCTGGGATTCACTGATGTCATGTAGTATTAACACTCCCATTTTAAGAGGAAAGTGATTTTGACCCTGAGTTTAGTGGCTGTGAGGTGGATGTGGCCACAAGTCGTCAAAGGAAATTTAAAAAAACCTCGATAATAACCCATGTGCAATATTTGTGCAACACCCTTTCAGAATGTCTTATAACCTATGCCCTAAGTAAAGAGAAACAATTCTGGCTGGCTGGCTGACTGCTTGGCTGACTGGCTGGCTGATTGGCTGGCTCGCTAGCTTGCTGGCCGGCTGCTGGCAGCCTGGCTCTATCTCCGTTTCTGTCTGTATCTGTCTATCTTTGTGTCTGTCTATCCCTGTCTATTTCTGTCTATCTCTGTCTCACAGGTACACATAAATACAAGTACACAGTGTAAATTACCTAGGATAACCCAAAAAATCCAAAGTGCTATACTCTGCTTGAAGACGTAAGTAAACGTAATGATGAAGCAGTCTTGTGGCTCTCTCTGAGACAGAGAGCTAGACAGATAGACAGGGAGCTTGACAGACAAATACACACATGTTTGTGTACCAGCGAAAACAAAGCAGGCCCTAATCTTTTCTTATCAAGTCTTATCACTGCACCCTCGCAAATGCTCATCAATACTTTGTATATATTCCAAGACACTAGTAAATGGCCAAGGCAGGTGTAAATGTCCACCTGTCAGTGTGTGACAATGCGAGTACAATTGCAGTACCTAATATTGGTGTCAGAACGAAGATTGGTTATGAAATGACAAGAATTACTATAAATTGTAATTATCAGAACATAAAAATTATATAAAATAATATGAAAAATAGAAAAAAACGTATATCGGCAACACTTCTGCAAGCGGCAAGACTTGATGTTGCTGTCACGTGAGCATCCAGTGCCAACTTCTGGGCCTCATATCTCGGTAAGTACTGACCCTATAAAAAATTTCTTTTTATCCTATAACACTTAGAAAAATGTGCTTTTTTTTTTTTTTTTTTTTTTTTTTTTTTTTTTTTTTTTTTTTTTTTTTTTTTTTTTTTTCAAAAATATTCGGGGCACTGGGGTAGTGAACGTATATATACATTTGGACCGTTTACGGGCTAAGTAATATGAAAAGGTCTAAATTTTTCTCATATTGGAAAAATAAATAAAACCTAACATGTATAGAAAAATATAAGTGAAATGATGAAAAAATTTATTCCTGAATAAACAGAAGACTGAATGGAGACTCGAATCATGTGGGGTAGCAGGCCTAGTGCTGTACCATTCAGCTACAAAGATTTTGTTGGGATGATTTTCCAACTAGCACTTCTGTGATGTGGTTGTAACAGTAGCAGCCAACTGGATCCTATTGTTGTCTTCAACACCCTCACAGCTTTTATGGCACATCTATTCTCATACCCCTTAGACGTTGTCTATAAACCCAAGTACTTGGCTTACGCGCTGGCCTGGAGTTTTAAGACACACTTGCCGTGAGTTCAAGCCTCACCCGTACTGTGGTTTGTTTGCAATTGTGTTATTACGATTTTGTGAGTCACGACACACAGCAAATTCATCAAATGCCAGGAATATGGCAGGTTGAATTATGAGGGCAGTCAAAGGAGAGAGAGAGATGAGCAGCTAGTGAAGGCTTCCACTCTTAAAATTCTTGTTCTCTCTCATCTACAAAGTGTGCTCACTACATTTCTTTACAAAGTAGGAGACAGATCTCAACTGGAAAACATAGAGGGACATTTTACTGCCTCAAAGAACTTGGAAAATATTCTGAAAGAGAGGAGGTAAGCAATAATAATAATACGTACATAGAATAACAATAATAATTAATAAATTATTATTACTTGTTAATAATTACTTTATTATTACTAATTATTATTGTTATTATATTTTAGGGGAAGCACTAAACCTGTAGGGATCTTAGTGTCAGGAAAATGGAAGGTTATCAAGATTCAGTAAAGGGAAGGGTAGGTCCACTCCCATTTGTCCAGAGCATGGGAATAAACTGGAGTGATGGCAGGGGTGCCATAAGCACTGTTAGAGAACATGGTCAACATTGTAGTTGATAACTCATTTTACCAGCAGTTGTATAAGAAATATTACTGGATCAAAGATAGTCTTCAGTGGGAAGCTAAAAAAGCTTGTTCAGGAAGTGTGCAATCAGCCTGATTGTGATGAGTATGTAGGCTGGGTTGTAAGCATAGAACATATGCATAGTGCTGGAGTTGATGGGAAGAGACGGTTTACTGGGGTGGAGGGATCTGTGAATAGTGATAACTGGTCAATTATTAGTCTGCATTATTGTGAATAATTTGTATAAATGCACAGCATTGTACAGTGTAGGAAGTGTTGACACAAGATTAATGCTAAATGTTCTCCAGCTGGTTTTGTTTGCATTAGTTAATTTAGACACTTACTGCTTATCAGAGAACATTTAGTTAATTAACATAAATTTATATTTATTTATTGCAGTTTATCATATTTGGTATATACAGTATTTGTGCAAGTTCCTTACTGGTTTATCTAATATGTTTTTTCTAGATTGGAATATGACTTTTGATGAAATGCTTTGAGCCATTTAATAAGTATTTTCCAATAAAAAGTTTCTCCATATTAGTTAAGAGCGAAATGTTCTGTACACACATTGTCACCATTTATCATCACTACTTAAAATGTTCAGTGTGGCAGTTTTTAATCTCTCAAAAATATTCGTGATGCTGTGGATCATTGGTGTAGTGCCATTGGATTGTACTGTAACAGAAATTGGAAAATCTATAAAATAAGGCAGTAAAGTTACTGGAAATGAGCTGGAAAAAGTCAGTTATTCCCTTTGCATGCAACACTATTTTATATTGAAATTCTACTAAAATAATACTTAAGGGTAAGTACTGTAATGATTAAAGTTTTTTAGTAGGGTTGCCACCAATTAAAATCATTAATCAAATGATTTTTTTAACAATCTGTTGATGAACTGTTGAGTTATTGTTTTTTACGTGCACTCCTAACTTCTGTTTTGTCAAGTCTTAGATGCTTTGAAAAGTAATCAAAACTCTGACCTGTCATGAAATGTATTTGTGTTTTTCTTTAATAATTACAGGAAGGTATAATATTTACCTCATTAGCATGATCAAGCAGGGCTGGACACATGAGCAACCTGGCAACAGAGTATCAGCTACTGGAGAGGCTTTATGTTCATATCCATCAGTTGCACTCGCATATCTCTTACAGTCCGAGCCAGTGGCCCCAGAACCCACATCAGTACCTGCACCACAACCAGAACCTGAGCCAGAATCAGCAGTGGAGCCAGAGTCCGAACTGCAGCCTGAGGTAGATCCGTCTCCGCTTTTCGCTCTGTCATCTCCTTCGTAGCCACACTAGTGTTGCCTGGGAAGTGGCTGGTGCACCTGAGAGAAAATCTGTTATGAGCCTCTTGGTTTTTCTTCTTTGTGTCGTCAGTCCTCTTTTAACTTGGAGTCATTTTCGCTTGATTGACAGTCATGAGGGTTGGTAAAGTGTTCAAAAGTTGGCAATGAAATTTGAAGTTAATCTATAAGCATGCAACTTATGGAAAGGTTAATTAAGATTAGCAGGATAGTTCTTATTGCTGACATGCAGTATCGTGAGGATTCTTTATTGCACATTACATCAGAAATCAGTATAGTGTAGTTTTGAAAAGCTCATTTTGCTGATCTCTCTATTCTAATTTTGTTGAGTTCTTTGATACATCTTGTTTAGTGTTATGGAGTCTGTATGATAAACTTGTTGGTTTTGCATTCTGCTGGGATGAACACAAGTCTAGAGTTTTGCAAATCTGCTTTTTTCTTTTATTTATAATCTGTCATTATTTTAAGCTTTTCAAAATCTTTCTTGATACTGTATTTAAAAACTAACATTTTTTCCTTTATTGTGCATTAAGCTTTTATTATCCTAACTGCTTTATGAAATTTTATAATTTGCTCCTTATATTTTCAAATTTTATTATGTTAGCATCATTACAGGGGGTCTCACAAAGCCCACAGCATTAGTTATTCATAGTTGCCAGACTCTTGTCGATATTACCTGGCAGTGTGTCGAGGTTTTATAATCACTTATGGCATTACTGCCCATGTGGTGGCACCGTCAAGAGCTCTGAGTGCAATGTACTGGGTTATCCAGCATGGTGCAGGGCCCAGGATGCTGGTGGTGTGAGCCCCCAAGGAGGCAGCTTTGCGACACCACTTACTGGGTCGCCTCTGACACTTCCAGCCTGTTGTCGCCGAGCCTGAGCCAGCCCCTGTTTCTGAGCCTGTTGTGGAGGCTGCACCTGCACCTGCACCTGTCCAGTCTCAACCCGAGCCTGCACCTGCGCCTGAGGTATATATGGTCGAGTACAGTACAACCCTTCCTGAAGTTCAGTCACTCCACTCTTATCGTCCAGGCATTGGCAACATGCTGTAGGAGCCTCTAGTCTCATTCTCGGGAATCAGATACATTATACCATACTGTATCTGTTTTCCTAGCCCAATCAGCCTATAGTTTGTAATGAGAGGAACAAATCTCCAGTTGTAATTGCAGACTGTCTGGGTGGAGGGTTTGGCATGATGGCTCTGAAAGTGTGCTCACCTACTGCTGTGCACGACTTCATGCCTTTTTAAATGTGCACAACACTCATTGACCAAGGAAACACAATATCGAAGCACATTCTAAAAGTTATCACTTTAGATAAAACGAGTTCTTATTATGACAGTAAATAATAGTGATGGTTCACTGTTTGAGGGCATCTGAAACTATTGGAAATGTTAACTCTATAGTTAACATTTCCATGATCAAAACAATCTAATTATGAAATTTAACCCATGTAAAGTGAACTGTTTTGTACCATATTTAGCCTCATAACTTGTATTGCCACAGACATTGTTAGGTCATATCCCTGGGTACAGAAAATTTTCAGAAGCATTTAAAAGGGTAACCATGTGCAGACATGTATAAATAAACCACCACGTAAGGTACAGAATCGATTTCACAGTGTTTTGCTACTGTGTATATATTAGCTTTATCAAGTCTAGAGAAAACAGATAAGAGCATGAATGTGTGTGTGTGTGTGGGGTGTTATGTGCACGTGTGTGTGTGTGTGTGTGTGTGTACGTACATACACACTTCGCACATACACAGAAGGGAAGGAGGAGTTGCATTGCTCATTGGCTATTAAAAACTGATGAGGATTTGAGGAAGTGGAAGGAATGGACAAAATTGGCAAAAGGGACTACATAGTAGGTACAATTCAGCCTGGGGGACATAAGGTAGTCATTGCAGTGATGTATAACCTGCCACAGAACTGCAGGAGACCAAGAGAAGAATATGAACTGAGCAACAGAGCAATGGTGGACACACTAGCTGAGGTGGCCAGAAGAGCTCATATGGGTAGAGCAAAATTACTAGTTTTGGGTTATTTCAATCGCAAGGAGATTGAGAAAACCTAGAGCCATATGGGGGTCCCAAAACATGGAGAGCCTGGTGGCTAAAGCTCCCGCTTCACACACGGAGGGCCCGGGTTCGATTCCCGGCGGGTGGAAACATTTCGACACGTTTCCTTACACCTGTTGTCCTGTTCACCTAGCAGCAAATAGGTACCTGGGTGTTAGTCGACTGGTGTGGGTTGCATCCTGGGGGGACAAGATTAAGGACCCCAATGGAAATAAGTTAGACAGTCCTCGATGACGCACTGACTTTCTTGGGTTATCCTGGGTGGCTAACTCTCCGGGGTTAAAAATCCAAACGAAATCTTATGGATGTGGTACTGGAAAACCTCATGCATCAACATGTTAGGGACACTACCAGAGAGAGAGAGAGAGAGATATAGAGAGAGAGAGATATAGAGAGAGAGAGAGAGATAGAGAGAGAGAGATAGATAGAGAGAGAGATATATATAGAGAGAGAGATATATATAGAGAGAGAGATATAGAGAGAGAGAGATATAGAGAGAGAGATATATATATAGAGAGAGATATATATATAGAGAGAGAGAATATATATAGAGAGAGAGATATATATAGAGAGAGATGATATATATATAGAGAGATATTATATATAGAGAGATATATAATAGAGAGAGAGATATATAGAGGGAGAGAGAGAGATATAGAGAGAGAGAGAGATATAGAGAGAGATATATAGAGAGAGAGATATATAGAGAGAGAGGTATATAAGAGAGAGATATATATAGAGAGAGTAGATAGAGAGAGATATATATATATATATATATATAGAGAGAGAGAGATATATATATATAGATATATATATATATATATAGAGAGAGAGAGATACATATAGAGAGAGATATATATATAGAGAGAGATAGATATATATATATATATATATATAGAGAGAGAGAGAGAGAGAGAGATATATAGAGAGAGAGATATATAGAGAGAGAGATATATATAGAGATATATAATATAGAGATATTATATATATATATATATATATATATATATATATATATAGAGAGAGAGAGAGAGAGATATATATATAGAAGAGAGAATATATAGAGAGAGATATATAGAGAGAGATATATAGAGAGAGATATATAGAGAGAGATATATAGAGAGAGATATATAGAGAGAGATATATAGAGAGAGATATATAGAGAGAGAGATATATAGAGAGAGAGATATATAGAGAGAGAGATATATAGAGAGAGAGATATATAGAGAGAGAGATATATAGAGAGAGAGATATATAGAAAAGATATGAGAGATATATAGAGAGAGAGATATATAGAGAGAGAGATATATAGAGAGAGAGATATATAGAGAGAGATATATATATAGAGAGATATATATATAGAGAATATATATAGAGAGATATATATAGAGATATATATATAGAGATATATATATAGAGATATATATATAGAGATATATATATAGAGATATATATATAGAGATATATATATAGAGATATATATATAGAGATATATATATAGAGATATATATATAGAGATATATATATAGAGATATATATATAGAGATATATATATATAGAGATATATATATATAGAGATATATATATAGAGATATATATATATAGAGATATATATATATAGAGATATATATATATAGAGATATATATATAGAGATATATATATATAGAGATTATATATAGAGATATATATAGAGATATATATTGAATATATATATAGAGATATATATATAGAGATATATATATTAGAGATATATATATAGAGATATATATATAGAGATATATATATAGAGATATATATATAAAAGGGTTAACAGGAGGCTAAAGCATCTATTAGGGGAGAAAAGGGGAATTTATAGGCGCATCCTGCCAGATGACTGTGAAACAAAAACCTGTAACTGTTTTGCATGATGGTAGGATTGCTGGTTTCTTTTTCTGTCTCATAAACACGCTAAGATAACAGGGATATCTTGCTACTCCTACTTACACTTTGGTCACACTTCACAGACACGCACATGCATATATATATATACATACATCTAGATTTTTCTCCTTTTTCTAAATAGCTCTTGTTCTTTTTTATTTCTTCTATTGTCCATGGGGAAGTGGAAAAGAATCTTTCCTCCGTAAGCCATGCGTGTCGTATGAGGCGACTAAAATGCCGGGAGCAATGGGCTAGTAACCCCTTCTCCTGTATACAATTACTAAAAAAGAGAAGAAGAAAAACTTTATAAAACTGGGTTGCTTAAATGTGCGTGGATGTAGTGCGGATGACAAGAAACAGATGATTGCTGATGTTATGAATGAAAAGAAGTTGGATGTCCTGGCCCTAAGCGAAACAAAGCTGAAGGGGGTAGGAGAGTTTCAGTGGGGGGAAATAAATGGGATTAAATCTGGAGTATCTGAGAGAGTTAGAGCAAAGGAAGGGGTAGCAGTAATGTTAAATGATCAGTTATGGAAGGAGAAAAGAGAATATGAATGTGTAAATTCAAGAATTATGTGGATTAAAGTAAAGGTTGGATGCGAGAAGTGGGTCATAATAAGCGTGTATGCACCTGGAGAAGAGAGGAATGCAGAGGAGAGAGAGAGATTTTGGGAGATGTTAAGTGAATGTATAGGAGCCTTTGAACCAAGTGAGAGAGTAATTGTGGTAGGGGACTTGAATGCAAAAGTAGGAGAAACTTTTAGAGAGGGTGTGGTAGGTAAGTTTGGGGTGCCAGGTGTAAATGATAATGGGAGCCCTTTGATTGAACTTTGTATAGAAAGGGGTTTAGTTATAGGTAATACATATTTTAAGAAAAAGAGGATAAATAAGTATACACGATATGATGTAGGGCGAAATGACAGTAGTTTGTTGGATTATGTATTGGTAGATAAAAGACTGTTGAGTAGACTTAAGGATGTACATGTTTATAGAGGGGCCACAGATATATCAGATCACTTTCTAGTTGTAGCTACACTGAGAGTAAAAGGTAGATGGGATACAAGGAGAATAGAAGCATCAGGGAAGAGAGAGGTGAAGGTTTATAAACTAAAAGAGGAGGCAGTTAGGGTAAGATATAAACAGCTATTGGAGGATAGATGGGCTAATGAGAGCATAGGCAATGGGGTCGAAGAGGTATGGGGTAGGTTTAAAAATGTAGTGTTAGAGTGTTCAGCAGAAGTTTGTGGTTACAGGAAAGTGGGTGCAGGAGGGAAGAGGAGCGATTGGTGGAATGATGATGTAAAGAGAGTAGTAAGGGAGAAAAAGTTAGCATATGAGAAGTTTTTACAAAGTAGAAGTGATGCAAGGAGGGAAGAGTATATGGAGAAAAAGAGAGAGGTTAAGAGAGTGGTGAAGCAATGTAAAAAGAGAGCAAATGAGAGAGTGGGTGAGATGTTATCAACAAATTTTGTTGAAAATAAGAAAAAGTTTTGGAGTGAGATTAACAAGTTAAGAAAGCTTAGAGAACAAATGGATTTGTCAGTTAAAAATAGGAGAGGAGAGTTATTAAATGGAGAGTTAGAGGTATTGGGAAGATGGAAGGAATATTTTGAGGAATTGTTAAATGTTGATGAAGATAGGGAAGCTGTGATTTCGTGTATAGGGCAAGGAGGAATAACATCTTGTAGGAGTGAGGAAGAGCCAGTTGTGAGTGTGGGGGAAGTTCGTGAGGCAGTAGGTAAAATGAAAGGGGGTAAGGCAGCCGGGATTGATGGGATAAAGATAGAAATGTTAAAAGCAGGTGGGGATATAGTTTTGGAGTGGTTGGTGCAATTATTTAATAAATGTATGGAAGAGGGTAAGGTACCTAGGGATTGGCAGAGAGCATGCATAGTTCCTTTGTATAAAGGCAAAGGGGATAAAAGAGAGTGCAAAAATTATAGGGGGATAAGTCTGTTGAGTGTACCTG